CATGATTGTGTGATCAAAATTCAGATGCTTGGCAACTAACTCATACTTATGACGGTTGCAGCATCCCTGGGTCACATGATCCCCTTCTGCAACCTTTTGACAAGCAAAGTCAATGGAGAAAGCCAGATTCACTTAACAAGCAGGTTACTAATTTAATAACTTCGGTGATTCACTTAAGAACTGTGGCAAGAAAGGTCGTAAAATGGGGCAAAACTCACTTAACAAATGCCTCACTTAGCAACATAAATTTGGGGCTCAGTTGTGGTTGTAACACAAGGACTACCTGTATTCCTAAAAGCTGCCCTTACTTTAGCACACTGACTTTTGCACAGCCTCTTGATTCTGTTCTTCAGACTTGGCAAAGGTATCCTGAAATGGTCAAGAACATCTGTTGTTCTATTTCTGTTAGACAATAGATCAACAATGGCGAACCTTTTAGAGACCGAGTGCCCAAACTGCAACCCAAAACCCACTTATGCATCGTTGGGTGCCGGGTGGGTATGGCCCATTGGGTGGGCGTGGCTGCGGTGGTAATGGCAGACTGGGTGGGACTAAAAAGTTCTTCCAACTTTGCAAGATCTTTTTTTTCTCACGAGAAGATGAAATTGATTGATTGAACCTTTTTTTTTTTTTTTGCACATGGCGGTGGAGGCCTAAAGCGAAAAGGTTTTATAAAACCCAGCTGAAGGCCTAGGACTGGGGCGACGGCGCGCGTGCCACAGAGAGGGCTCTGAGTGCCGCCTCTGGCACCCGTGCCATAGGTTCGCCACCACTGCAATAAATGGTCTTGAATCACCTTGGTGTACATATCACATTGTACCCGAAGATGCCTGGAGTTTGGTTTTGGCTTAGCGTGTCCATGTGAATTCAGCAATCTGGGTTTGAAAACCATGACCCATAGATACAACAATTTGTGAAGCTAGTTGGCTGATTCAACAAGCATTTAAGAACTTAAATGTGTGAACTCAGTCACTGTGGCCTTATAAAGCAAGGGGGCCAGAGAAGGCCAGCTTTTTCAAGACTGCATTAACCTTTGAAGTGGAGTGGGGGGGGGGGAGAATGATTTACAGTTTGTGATTTTCATCATGCATTAATTAGCTTATTCACTGGGGCTTCTTCTGTGCAGTACAACTTGTTTTTTTTTAAATCGTAGCATAATTTAATTTGTGTACCCAGCCAACTGTGGCCTTTCCCATTATTCACGATTACAACAATCTGTGACTTGGTACAGCAGGCGAAGGTGGACAAATCCATTGAGGGTGGGTAAACCTAAGTTGCAATTGGTGATAACAGGATACTGTCTAATAAAAAGTATTGAATGTAATTACGGTGTGTTGCTTAAGAAGTGTGACTGAGAGGGAGGCATGGAGGCAGAAGAATGGCAAAGTGTATTTAAGCTGCTTCAGCTGTCTTTGGTTGAAAGAAGCAGGGCAAGATCTAACTTGCAGCCAGAATACTCATTTTGGAATAATTTCTAAACCACCAAAACTCACTTTGCAATCTTAACTGGTTTTTCATGAAATTTATCCAACTGGAGAGTGAAAGAATAGAAATATATCATGCCTCCTCCCTCCCTCCCCCCCCCTCAAAATACTTCAGTTTTTCCAGAGGCTTCTGTTCTCCTGTAATTAAGGGTGATTCAGCTCAGCATGAAGAGAAAAAAAAACACAAAACACCAGCAGCCTTGAAACAACACAGCATATTCAGGTCTATTTTCCAGACAGATACTTGTCAAAGAAACAGCAACCTAGTAACTGGGTTCACCTCCTCAGCAAATCCACTTGCAGTGATTCAAAGGAGATGCAAACCCCCCCCCCCCCACACACACACATTCAACAAAGCTTTGCAACTGCATTTATCTACTTTCAATTTTTTCCTCCAATTTCCAGCAAATATTTACGTTCACATGTGATTTGAACTAAGTAAGCCAAGCTATTCCTCGTGTTTAGAATAACCCACAGAAAAGGAGCAACGTTATTCCGCAAGGACGTCAGAAAGAAAAGTACTGGGCGAATTCATACATTGTTCTAAGCCAGAACAGACCAATCACGTGATATTCTACCAAGCATGCAAGCCAACTTCCTAAAACTCTAGGTCAGCCTTCTTCAACCTGGTGTCTCCTAGATGAGTAAGATTTACTGAATTGGATTTGTACAGCCATCCATCTCATAGGCATGTATAATAAAACAATCTATTAAAAACCATTACAAGCAATACATTTAAATTAAAAAGATGATGAAAAACGCTGGCTGAGGAATTCTGGGAGTTGAAGTGCATATATCATAAAAGGGCCGAATTTGAAGACCCTGGGTTAAGGGATGGGAAACAGCTACTCAGTCCTGGGAAAGTGGGAAGTAGGAACAAAAATTTCGGAATAGCCTTGACCTTGATTCAATCTGGGGACAGAGAGAACTCTTGTCAGCTTCTGAAATTCTGCTATTCAATGCCACATCAATAAAGTAAAATTTTGGAAATCTACCTGGTCTCTTTTTCCTAATCTGGCCTACCTTGAAAGGCTGGCCATCATTAAAAACAAGGAGATTAAATCAAATCAACACTATTAAAATGTGTTGAACTTAATTAAGCATTTTCCCATATGCTTTGGGATATCTTGCTATGGTCTGGCTCCTGTACAACTTTGCTGCAGAACAGCAGTCTCCAATCTTTCCGGCACCAGGGATTGGTTTGAGAAGAAAAACAGTCTTCCCAAGACTGGGGGCAGGAGGAAGGAGAGGATGATTTTGTGTGCAACCTAGATCATACATGTGTGCAGATGAAGCTTTACTCACTTGCCTGACACTTGCATAGCCCGGTTCCTAACAGTCCCCATACAATGGTACTGGTCCGTGGCCCAGGGGTTGAAGGACCCCTTGCTGCAAAGGATGCTAAATTTCCGTTACACGTTTCAGAAGTTTATTACAATCCTTGAAAGCTTCCAAACCAAACTGCCACACAAGTCATCTAAGCTCATCTAAAAAATTTCCAAGTGAATTCGCCTGTGCAGATTTGTCACTGTGTTCAACAACTACTTAGTTAAGCAACTAATATATTCATCTATATCTAAATGGTCAACATGAACTTGCTAACTGAACGTTCCAGTCGTAATCATTCTTAGCAATGACTTAGGACATCCAAGTTTTTAAAATAGCTCACACACACACGATACCAAGCGAGGATTTTCAATAATAACAAAAAAGATTCTCTGAACAACTCATGGAGGAGTAGTTGACAGGTAACACGAAGAGTTGGTACATTTCAGGTAGAAACCAAAGAGACACTCCCTAGGATGATGAAAGACTGGGCACATGGTGGTAAACTAGTAATTTATAGTGAAGGAGAGATGTTTTAGCTACGGACTGTCCTCACATTTGCACTTTCTAACTGTACCAACTTCTAGCATTCATCACTGGTCAACTAAACACCATTGACAGTGATCATTCCACACAACTAAGCTAGGCTTGATTTAACTCCGTTTACTGAATAAACGTCAGTTGGCTACATTCACAAACCCTGGCTTAACTGCAGTTCAGATTGGCTGCAAACGCCACGGTGGGGTTCAAAAGAAAGGAAAGCAAACGGCGCATGGGTTTAGGGTTAACTGGTTGAACTCAGCTGCTGCAGGCCCCATCCAATGTGGCCGCACACGTGGCAGTTGGTGCCAGCCAGCCTTGGTGTAGAATAAACATGCTTTACTTGGCAGGGGTGAACAACTGCAGTTGCTTGACAATTTTCAAAGCGAAAGTCTCCTTTTTGCTTGATTGCATCCGTTGGAACCCTGCTCCCTGCATTCACAAGTTAACCCTCACCTGTTGGAGAACCCGATCCAGAGGCTCTGCTTTGGTCAAGCTTTCGGGGGTTAACCCTGTCAGTTCTCGGCAAGGCTCGCTTAGTTCCAAATTGTCTGCCTTCACCAGGCATTTGTGCAGCGTCCCTACCTGAAAATGTTTAACAAAGAGAGCAGAGGGAGAGGGGGAGGGGAGAGACAAAAGTAAAACTCCAGGAACTGGATGGAGCGACTGTAAAAATAATGTGTATTAAAAGGAAACTAGAACCACAGCTGGCCCCATCGAAACGGGAAGGGATGGCTCGGAGATGCAGTTGCTAATTTCACAAACATCCCATCGTTGCCTTCAAGGAGACTCACAGCCTTCCCATAAAAATATAGATTATTTTTAAGAGACCCAGCTGCAATTCTTGCATCATTCTAGTATAGTGGGGGAGAAAAAAATCAGATGATCCCATCAGAATGGACTCGATTTAGGGATCCCAGGGGCAGCCCTTGACCCTCCCTCTGTGATTTTTTTTTTCAAATTATTCATCTGAAATTCATTGGGGGCCGGGGGAGGGGGGCGAATAAACAGAGGGATTGGACCTAGTTCTTTTGGGTTGCATAAAAACAGGTTTTCCTCCCACTCCAGTTTAATTCCCTGTATCAAGCGACAGGTTTCCCAAGCAAACATGCAGGCCTGATTTCAAACACAGAAACAAAAAGGTACATATCCAATATCCCAAACACGGTTAAAAGGTCAGTTTTTACAAGAAGCCTTTAGAGTCGCTAAAATGTTTCTACTGACCGAGAACAAGGGGGTAAGGAGATTTAATTCTTTAGTAATCTGGATTTTTGTCATCTGGATTTGGCTCTCCTCATTAATTTCAAGGGGAAAGTTTGAACTGAGTTTTCATTGATTGCACACTGGTCCAAACTTAATAGTTTCTCCCTGCTTTCTCCCATCCCACCAGCCCCCACCACCCCCAAGCCAAGTTTGGGGGAGAAAAGCAAAGCTTATTTCAGCCCTCTTTGCTCAAGCAGAAATCCCACTGGGATGGCTGAAAGGAGAGAGAAGAGGGATCTCGATTAAATGCATTCACCTCTCTTTCCTTTTTCTGCCTCTCTTTTGCAAATTGCCCAACAGCGTATGAAGAGTTTGGGAAGTCATACCTTCTTGCTGGGAAGATCCACAACTTGCCACACCAACAGAATTAGTTCCCTCTCATCGGACCCCAGCTTAGCCCCATTTCCACCAGCGGTTGCCCCAAACAAGACCACCAAACAGTCACTGTGCGGAGAAGAAGCCGTCATGACCACAGAGGGGGGGGAACAGCTACAATCAAAAGCAGAGGTAAAGGAGGGGGGGAAAGGAGGAAGAGAGAAGAAAGAAAGAAAAAAAGAAAAAAGAAAAAAGGAGAGAGAGAAAGAAAGAGAGAAAAAGTATAAAACAAGCCAAACACAAAAACTTACAAATAAAGGGCACCCCTTTCCCCAAGTGATCAAAGGGAAGATATAAAAAGGACAATCTCAGAAAAGCCAGAACTATGGGGAAGGGGAACAGGGTGAAGGTAGCTAAGATTCAAATAATATCTAATAAAGGGGGAAAAAGTGTTATCTATTTGCCGTTGTACCTGGATTTTAGGTGAACTCTTTCTCCCCAGGTCTAACTGGGGGATAAAATTTAACAAGCAGTCCGTTTGTCTCCCTCTGACATCATGGCAGGAACCCAGCCTAGGTTTAAAAAAAAATAAATCTTTTTTTCCTAGCTCTCTTTTTCCTAAGTTACCTGCCCCTCGGTAGAAGCACATGACCTGAGTCAATTTCCCAACAGGCGAGGCCATTGGGCCTGCAGGAAAGGTAGAGGTGGGACCTGGAATAAAATCCACGCCCAGCTGCATCTACCTGATTGGGTTTGTGTATGTTTGGTTGGAGAGGGAGGGAGGGAGACAAGAGAGATCAGGAGGGAAACTCCCTTTCTCAATTTTAACTTTAATTTCAGGAAGCGCCTTAACCTGTTCTGATTTTTTTTTCTCCCTCTCGCTCTCTGCCTCTCTGTCTCTCTCTCTCCTCTATTTCAGGAGTTCTTTATCAGCAGGTGGAATGCAAACTCCTGTCCAAAATGCACAAGCTCCAGTGATGGGATTCAGCCAGTTTGCACCACTTTGGCAGAACCGGTAGCTCATTTTTTGTTGCCCAGGCCCAGACTGGACTTCCAGAAGCGGCACCCACACAGAGAACCGGTTGTTCACCTATTTGAATCCCACCATTGACGAGCTCCCTCCAAAGGTTTTTTGGTTCCAAATATTTTGTGTTTGGCTCCCCTCTGGTCACCTGCCTATTTCTGTCACCTGAAACGTAAGAACAGTTCTCTTTGGATCACAAGGAATGTGGCCAAAATCGTTGAAGTGAAGAGTCCATTTTATAAAGCCGTAGGAGTTATAACCGGATCCTCCACAGGGCAAAACTCGCACAAAATGAAATGTCCCTGCTGATGTGAGTCAAAAGCCACAATCTCAAATTCTAAGGCTAGTTTTCTCAGTTTATGGAGAAGCAAAACATTTTGGGGTTGAAGAAAACCAGCTTCTGAAGCAGTGTTTTTCAAACGTGATAACTTCAAGAATTCTGGAGTTGAAGTCCACAGATCCTAAGAGTTGCCATGTTTGGAAAACAAGATTCTAAAGAATAGCGACCAACTGGACAAGTCTTCCAAATGCATTGGCAGATCACCAATGTCTATGAAAAAAAAAACCATTGCCTGTTTAAATTTCAATTCCCTTTTAAAATGAATCTCAGCAGAAAATCTGTCTTTATTAAAAGCAGCTACACTGTATGAGCCACAGACCACAGAGCCCTATCTATTTAGACCTGCATTTCTCTTCTTAAACTTGAACAACGAAGCCCCTTGGAAAAATTCACATTTTGCATGCAGGAGATTATGCTAAATCTTCATACCTCAAGGTATGAATCTTGAGATCAGATTCTAGAAACATCCTCTGGAATTAACAGGTATTGAAAGAAAACACCCGGGTGGGAATCTTTAAAGCAGCCCCCATTTCAGTGGGCCCTCTACAACTGCTTTGAGGAATTGCAAACAGGTACAAATGTCTCACTTAATGACTGCTTGTTCAGTGACTGTTCAGAGTTACAACAGAGCTGAACTGGTGGGATTTACAAGTGTTCTCTCAGTTGTGGCTGTTGCACCATCCCCATAGCCACAGGGTTGTGATTTGGGCACTTGTAAGTTGTGGTCCTCAACTTACAACCACCACTGAGCCCAAATGTTTTGTTGCTAAGCAAGACAGTTGTTAAATGAGTTTTACTCCCTTTTACCACCTTTCTTGGCACAAATTGCTAAGTGAATCCCAGCTATTGTTAAGTTAGTAACTGCTGGAATTGCAGGTGAAGTGATATAAAGTTGCATTTAATGGTTGAGCCGCTCAGCAACAGAATTTCTGGTCCCAATTACCATTGTTAAGCAAGGTCTACTTGTACTATCCCACACAACCCACAACACATAATCCAATTTGAAGCATTGCACCACCTCACTATATTCTGCCTTCAGTTCTGAGTGAAAAGTGAGGTGAGTCTAATAAATCAATAAACACATAATAAATATCCTACGCTTTGCTACTGTTGTAGCTTCTGGTTTTATGTTTTAAGGTGAACTCTATTTTTTTTAAGTGAAGCAAACAAGCTACTTAGAGAAATAGGTGAATTGTGCATACATTTTGTTTATAAATCTTCCAAATAAATAAGCAGAGAACTGGCAATAGAGTAGCTAAATACTCTGAAGGTGGAGGAACTTTCATCCCAATTTCAGAATCCTTCTTGTGAGTTACTATCTTAATTCTCCATCTTGGTGTTATAAAGGGAATCTTGCTTAATTTAGCTGTAGGTAAATGTCTTTCTAGAGATGGTCACAATGTAACAGAAATATTATATAAATAATTTCAGGCAAACTGGCAGACCTCCTCTTCATTTGTCATTATTTATTATATAAAACTTGAAAAGTTGCTTTCCTTCACAAGGGTGTGGGTAGGCCACATATATCTTAGAAAATAGAAAGTACCACAAAAATGTAATAATAGGGTGCTCCTTACATTTGCTGTAAGTGGCTCCCCTTCTCAATTAAAAAACAGGAAATTAAAATGAAGGAAAGCACCCTTCGTGGCTGGAATGGAGGGCAGGAAGCCATTTCACCTAATTTGCCTTCTGGGAAAATGGAAACCGGTCATATCCATCCTGGCAGCCATTTTGTGAGGGTACCAACCAGCCTTTCTAGCAGCCCTTTTTGGGAAAACCTCCACTTCTCATTCCCCAAAGTCCAAAGGGACCAAATAATAGAAAAAAACGAGGTTGCCTGAATCACAGCTTACAGGGGAAGACTCCTCACAACTGAGGAAGCTGAAAGAAAACAAGAACCTGGGAACCTAAAAGGGCCAGTGACGACTCGAAAGACATCCAAGTATTCTGTTTATATGATGCTCAAGCTAAAACTGAGGTTGTTTGTTGGTCCAGAGATGGGTGGTAGTGTGAGTCTCCTTTACCTGGCTGGGGGAATACCTGTCCCTTGAGTAGAAATTAATGGCCTTCAGGACCTAAGAAAATGGAATTGTGTGCCTGGAACACACAGGTCATTTGCACAGGTAGGCTGTGAAGGGAGTCTGCAAAATGCCTTTAACAGCAGCTGCTTTGTTATCTGGTCCAACGTGGGGAGGGGGAAGAGGAAAACAGTCCATTGTATTGTATTGTATTGTATTGTATTGTATTGTATTGTATTGTATTGTATTGTGGAGGGGGAGATTGGTATAGCAAGCGGCCATCTTGGAGGGGGCTAGGAATAAGGCAGACAGATTCAATTTGCTTTGCACTTTCCCCAGACATTTCCTTCTCCTGTATAGGCAGTCCTCGACTTACAACCATTCATTTAGTGACTTTTCCTCAGCCAGCCAAGTTTGGAGACCCCTGCTCTACTGTATTGTGATAGGTCAGTGTTTCTTAAGAGCAGCAATTTTAAGCATGGCTGGGGAATTCTGGGAGTTGAAGTCCACATGTCTTAAAGTCACTGGGTTTGAGAAACACTGATAGAGACTACCGTAATAGAATCTTGAAAGAATGACTGTTTATTTATATCCCTTTATTATTTTCATAAATAACTCAAGGCTGCAAATATATTGAATGTTTTTTCCTCCTCTTTTCCCCACTACAAACCCTGTGAGGTGGGTTGGTCTGAGAGTGTGACTGGCCCAAGGTCATCCAGTTGGCTTTTATGACTAAGGTGGGATTAAACCTCACCACCTCCTGGTTTTTGGCTTGATTTCTTAACTGCTAGTCCAAACTGTTTCTGTTTATGTTTCCCTCCTTTTTATACCAAAGAGAATGAAGGCAATGCAATCTTGAGCTTCTTTGCTATGCTTTCCTGTTTTCCCTGGCTAAGCTCATGATCACCACATATTTTCTCCAAGTTTATTTCTGTACTCCTCTACCCCAGCTATCTAGCATATCTAAAGAATTCTGCAAAGGGATCAGCACTGTTGGTAGTTATTAAGGCTTTCAGACATATATCCAACAGGTAGAGCTTTGGCTGAAGTCACCTCCATTTTGAATTTCATGATTATATCCTGCAAACACTCAGTCAAATTTCAGACTATCTTTTGGGATGAACTTTGCTTTTAAATATAGCATTTGCATTATAAAAATCTGTGTTGCGACAGATTTTTAAATTATTGCTTCCCCTGCTTTTAATTAAAGAATATATTGTTCTCTTTTAATAGATCTTTCCAGCTCCTTTGGGAGAAAGATCAGATTACAAATAAAGAACAATGCAAATTAATTCAGGATCCAAGCATCAAAGACCAAGGCAGTTCTTTCTGAGAGGAAAGTTGGAGTAGACAATTGTAAGTTATACATAATAGTAAAAAAACTAAAAAAACTAAAAATCTAGAGCCAATAGATCAGGGGTCTTCAAAGTTGGCCCTTTTATAACTTGTGGACTTCAACTCCCAGAATTCCTAACCCAGGCATGCTGGCTGAGGAATTCTGGGAGTTGAAGTCTACAAGTCATAAAAGGGCCAAGTTTGAAGACCTCTGTAATAGATGAAATAATGTTTTTGCTTTTCTGAAAATGGGGGAGTAGCTTGTTGTCTATTGTGAAGTGAGTCTTTGTCAAAAGGAGCTAATTATATGTACATATAAGAGTGTGTATCGGTTCACTGTTAGACGTTGTCATTGACTTAACAATTGTTTAGTGACCGTTTGAAGTTACGACGGCGCTGGAGAAAACCCACTTCTTTATAGTCAACAATTCAGCCAGGTCCACAATACCTAAAGAATTTGGGATTCTCGACTAAGTGGATTCATTTTGGTTGCTTTGATGGAAAGTATTTCATCCCTGTGTCATTTCAAACACAAATGTTTCTTGACTCATGACCAGAGACGTTATTAAATGAATCATGCCACTGTTAAGCAAATCCACCTTCCTTCATTTCCCAGAAGCTGACTGGGAAAATGGCAAATTTTGATCATGTGACCCAGAATGCTGCAATCATGGTAAATACATGCCAGTGGCCAAGTACCTAAATTTTGATCACATGATTTTAGGGATGCTGTGAAGGTCATAAGTAAGCAGACAAGTCGCATCCCAACTTTTTCAGTGCCAGTGTTACTTTGAATACTTGCTAAATGAAAGGTTGTGAAACGGGGACTCCCCTACCAAACTATATTTTCATTGGCCCTCCTATTGGCCAATTTCCCCCCCCACACACACACACAAACCTAGATTATCGGCCATTCTCTTCCATGGGTTGTCACTTTCCATCTTGACATTTTTCTCAAGTTGTCGTGGTATAAAATGCCACTTTCTGTAATGATGCTGGATAGTGTCAGCATCAGGGATGCATTTTTGCAGTGATGTGGGATTCCAGGTGCTCAGAGCGAGCAAAGTTTAAGCGAAACTGGGATTTTGCCAAAGAAAAGACATTTTCTTGCTTTAACATGACTTGTTTTGGTCATATTTGTAGAAACTTCTTGTTTTCAGGTTATAACCCAGGTCATGTGCATGGTGATAATTGATTTAATTGCCTATAGCTAAACTTTCAAAGCATCATTCTGCTTAATGATATTCCTCTCTGTTCTGCCTTTCCCCCTTCTTCCAAACAGAATGAATGACTGAGCAGAATGAAACTGAAATGTTCAGACCTGTTATAGTGTTGTTCTATGAGATATGAGCATTGTCAGAATAAATGTGCTAGTTTTGAGAGGTTTACTCCCCCCCTCTTTGCTTTAAATCAGGGGTCTCCAATCTCCGCAATTTAAAGACTTGTGGACTTCAGCTCTCAGAATTCCTCAGCCAAAGTTCCCAAGTTGCTTTAAATTATACAGGACTAGGAGGGAGAATTCTGCCTGAATCCCTGGAGACATACCATCTAACTTGGTGGCACCTTTGAGTTTGCTGTCTGCATGTTCTGTGCCCCAGATTACTTCCTTTCCTTCTTGAGAAGAACTGATCTTGCATAGACTTTCACAACAAGCAGGGGTGGCAGGCAGGAGTTGTAGGTAACAAGGGAGAAAGGGCGGAGTTTGGGAAAAATTCAGGTGAGCTGGCCCCAGGTATTTTCCAGGGAAGGGACAATCGAGGATAAGAATGTGTTCGGAAAGAACAGCATGAATCCGTGGTAGGATTTTATTAGTCAAGGAACGACATGACAATATTGACTTTTTTTCAAATACTAAGTATATGCACAACAGGTGCAGAATATGGTGTCCCTTGCTCCTCTCTCCCAGAATCCTATTTAATAGAAGGACATGCCCTGACCTGGCCTTCCCAGATGT